AAAAATTAGAGTACTACTAATTTCAATCAAAGAAAAGCAAAGTTACTACTAGTTCTAGGGAAGTGTAATGAAATCTGAAACAATACTCTTACTAGAGAGTAATATTAATCGATACTACTAGTACTTATGGTCTAGAATGTTTAAATGTTCATTAGAAACATTTATATTATATAACAGAAATGAATAAAGTGTTTCTGTAACCAATATACAGATTTGGTTAACGTATGCATCATAAAGTAGCATAAAGAGCACAAAACAAATTTTAATCTTTAAGAAATACAGATCATATTGACCTGTATGCTAGTATTTCATTCTACATGTAAATTAACCAAAATATTGACTCACGATGAAAAAACAATGATTTAACAGATGTTTTAATCACTAAAACTAGAAAACAGAGATGATAGTATCAAAATTCCTATGTGATGAAAGTTAAGCTTTGATAATCATTGAAGATACCTTAGTAAAATTATAATACATGAATTTGAATCCAACAAATCAGTACTTTTTCCTTCTTTGAAATAGCCACAGTATAATGAGGTCATTCAAGAAGTAATAGCAGTCTATCTAAATTTGGTCAATAAAGACAGTTCTATAAAGAGCTTTAGAAAATCCTGATGGGGTGTAATTTTATTACAATGAATAAAATAGAACAGGTTTCAGTTAAAGTATATACTTTCAGCTGAAGGTATAAAATTCTTGCCTTTTTTTTTCCTCTTAGGAAGTTTATGCTATACTTCAATCTTGATGTTATTTTAATGTCTCAAATTTAACTGTTATTCAAGCAATAATGGAACGATTCCTTTACAGCACTATTTTGACAATTTAACGAAAACTTTCTACATCTGGTTTGATTTAACATATTTTAAAGATTTTCCTATGACTTTTAAGATCATAAAAATCCCATAATTTGGTTGATAACATGCTTTGCTATCACCTGGCCACAGTCTGGAAATGGCAACACCTATGTCTATCTGGCCAACAAAACAGGTTATACCATGGTTAATCAATTTCTTAGGCAGCCACATGTATATATGAATTGAAATAATATTTTGCAACATGTTGCAAGGGCATTATAGATATGAAAAAGTTCATAAAGATTAGAGTGTAATAGGCATATAGTTTAGAGATTGCATTTGCTACTATCATGGGTTAATTAAATTTCGACACTCCACATAATATATGTTTAGATATATTATTAATATTATGTCACTATCTGAATTCTATAATCTCCCCAAAATACACAGTGCTCTCATCCAAATTCCCAGAGTTTACTGGGATTTCAAGATATTGCACATGTATATAGTCATAAACAATAACAAAAAGTTTCTCATAAACTTAGAAAAAAACAGAAGTTTCAATTATATTTTGTACACATACTATTACATTTATATTGATGGCATACCAAAGTTAATTTTAAGAAATCCTAACACCTTAAAAATCATTTTTAAAATTTCATGATTTTTATATTGATTCAGTATTTCATACACTTACTACATATTTAACATGGCATAGATAAATGAAGCAGACAGTTCATACACATTTAATACACAGGCCAGTGGGGAAGGAAATGTGTGTATATGTGTACATAACAAATCACAAATGTCCTGTGATCTGGAGTTTTAAGTAGCACAGATAAGAAAGCATTTTTCTTGGTAAACTGAACTAAAATAATGACAAATAGTAAGCTAAGTGTTGTCTAGGCTAAATGTAAGTAATTCAGGGGTCTGGTTTTTAACAGAGCAAATTATTCATGAGAGTTTGATGAAGCAAAACTATTCATACAGCGTGAAACTATTCAAATATATTCATAGAATGAGATGATTCACATATA